CCCCTGCCTCTGCCTCCCAAGTGCTGGGACTATAGGCATGCGCCACCACACCCAGCCCTCTTTTCATTTTTAAGGCTGATTTTAAGTATTTTTTAAATTGCAGCCAGATGTGGTGGCACACGCCTTTAATCCCAGCACTTGGGAGGCAGAGAAAGGGGGATCTCTGTGAGTTCAAGGCCAGCCTGGTCTACATAGTTCCAAGCCAGCTGAGGCTACAAGGAGACCCTGTCTCAAACCACCCCCCCAAAAAAATTTTTTTTTAAATTATGTTTATTTATTGCATGTGTGGAATAGGTTCTACATGTTCTCTCCTACTATATGGTCTTGTGGAACAATTGCAGGTCATCAGTATAGGTAGCAGGTATTTTTACCCGCTCAACCGTCTCATCACAGCCTTGTGTTAAGTTTTTCTCTACCACCTCTGAGTTTAAATTGTTTTGTTTTGTTTTGTTTTGTTTTGTTTTGTTTTGTTTCAGACAGGGTCTCCCTGTAGCCCCAACTGGCCTAGAACTCACTAAATAAACCAGACTGGTATTGATCTCAGAGAGATCTGCTTACCTTTGCCTCCAGAGTGCTGGGATTAAAGGTGTGCACCACCACACCCAGTGAGTTTAAATATTTTTATGAGACAAGTTTCCCTTTGTTTTTGGCATGGCTAGGGATTGAACCCAAGGCCTTGAATATGCTAGGCTCTACACTGATGTGCCTCCCCAGTCTGATTTTAAATATTCTTACTGCTTAACACTGAAATTTTCTTTAAGCCTCTTTACATTTGAAAATAACAATTTTGAGGAGCTCTGAGATAATTCTCTCCAACTATTTGGTGTTTTATGTGGGGTTCAGGTTGAGCAGGGTATAATTGGATGAGTGGTGGGGTAGAGGGCACAGGGTAAGCGGTATGTTTGTTTTCTTTCCCACATGGACTCAGTCTGACAACCCAGGTAGCTAGGCTACTTTCAGAATCTCAGAGTGTCCCCAGACCCCAGCTTGTGATCACTCCCTTATGAAAAGGAAAATAATCTTTTTTTTTTTTGGCTGGTGCTAGGGATTAAACATATGCTAGGCAAGTACTGTAGTACTGAGCTACAGTCCTAGCCCTGAAAAAGGGATCAGAATAAAGGGATTTCCCTGGCCTCCTGATATATAGTGACTACAGCCCAGCCCTTTGTTCACAGACAATGGCTGTGATTGATTGGACACCAGCTCCACCTGTCCTGCATGACTGGGGGTCAGAGGGACAGTCTCCTGAGTGTCCCTGTAACCAGCTTGATGTCTTAGCATCCTCCTTCAGAGGAGGGCTCTGGCTCAGCCTAGGCCTGACTGAGTACCACTTGGTCCCACAGGCCTTCCTCAAGAGCACCCAGAAAGTTATCACTCCTTCATGTGGAATAATTTCTTCAAGCACATTGACATCCACCCGGAAAACACCCACATTCTGGATGGAAACGCAGCTGACCTGCAGGCCGAATGTGATGCCTTTGAAGAAAAGATCCAGGCTGCAGGCGGGATTGAGCTCTTTGTTGGAGGTGAGCTTGGCACATTCCTCAACCTATGTGCAGGTCCAGGCCTAGAGTAGCTGCAGTGCCTGGAAAGGAGGACAGGACACCATGCTTATCTCTACATGATCCCTCTGTACTAATTACACTGGAGTCATCTATCACCATATGGAGCAGAGAAATGGAGTGGTAGCCCTGGTCCCTGCCCTAGCTCTGCTGCTCAGGAATTGTGGGTGACCTTGAGTGTCCTCTTTCTGCACTTAATTCCTCATCTGTAAATTGAGAAGTCTGGATTTGGATCCTGATATCCTCTACTTAAGACAGGGGTCTTAATTAGACTTTATGTAACAGTCATGTAACTTTCCCAAACACTTAAAATGATGGACTGTATAGTTCCAGAAGGCACTGTTCAGCACCTGCATGTTAGCAATAGTCAGTTGAGCCCCAGGGAAGCTGTGTGACTCAGGGTCACACTAGGAGCAGCTGGGAGAAGGAGGAAACCAAAGGTTTCTGCCCCTCGGATTTGTGCTCTGCTTTCTACCCTGGGCTGCCTACAGTGTCCTTGTGCTGCCAACCTGGGAGTCTTATGAAAGTCTAAAGTTGGACTGCTTTTTACTGCTTAATCTAGCTTCTATAAAAGTAGAATACAGGAATTTGCAGGTCCTGAGATCTTACAAACTCAGCCACCCTTGCCCAGGTGCTGTCTCCAACTCCAGGCAAGAGGGAGAAAGGGTAATTACCCTTTCCCATAGTCTGGGCAGGCAGAAAGGTGTCTGTACCTCAAGTGGAAGAGGTAGGGAGGGGCGGGGCACATGCCTCAGGAATACCTAACTTGGGGTACAAGTGAAGAAAGAAATACAATTTTCAAGGAAAAAAGTGTTGCCTATTTTCAAAGTTCTGGGTCTTGGGGCTCACAGGGTTGCCCTATTGTCTCTGCAGGCATCGGGCCTGATGGACACATTGCCTTCAATGAGCCAGGCTCCAGTCTGGTGTCTAGGACCCGTGTAAAGACACTGGCCATGGACACCATCCTCGCCAATGCTAGGTTCTTTGATGGTGATCTCGCCAAGGTGCCCACCATGGCCCTGACAGTTGGTGTAGGTACTGTCATGGATGCCAGAGAGGTAAGGGATTGGTCAGGGGGGAATGGAGGATTCTTTTTGTTAATTTTAGCTATGCAGGCACCATCTAAATACATTCTTAAATACATCTAAATACATTCTCACACTAATCATAAATAAGGCTTAAATCCCCACCAGTCTCAATGCTGCACCTCTTCCTCTGGCAATAAGAAATTATTCCCAGGGTGAGGGCCAATCCTTTGGGCATTTTTCTATGCCTTTGGGTCAACTGGCCGGGGCCCCTGGCCTCTGCTTATACAGCTCATCATCAGAAAGGCTCCCTGCACCACTACTGTGGGAGTAAGAATTTGTACCAGGTACTAAATGGACATTTCTGGTTCCTATAGTTGGACACTATTGAAAAGGCCACCTCTGCAACCCAACCATGCTTTGCTCACAGCCCCTATGCTCAAGGATAATAAATGTAGTAAAAGGTAATTAAAATGTTTTGACCTGAATTTAGTAATTTAGTGAGTTTTTCCCCTTAGAAAATTGGATATTAATTTTTTTGTGGTTCCAGTTCCTCCTTAACTGTGTCTGAATTTGATCTTTTTTTTTTTTTTTTTTTTTTTTTTTTTTTTTTTTTTACAGAGCTCCAAAAAAGAGGACGATAAATCTTACTCACAGAGATCCGCCTGCCTCTGCCTCCTGAGTGCTGGGATTAAAGTGCCAAACTTTGAATTTTATCTTTTTAAAAACTTCTAAAAAATATTTTATTATTTTTCTTTTATCTGTATGAGTGTATTGTCAACATGTGCACCCGTGTCATGCAGTGCCCAAAATGGTCAGAAGAGGGCATTGGATTCCCCTGGAACTGGAGTTAAGGACAGTTGTTAGCTGCCATGTGGGTGCTGGGATTCAAACCATGTCCTCTGCAAGAGCAGCCACAGCTCTTGACTTTTGGGCCACCAGTCCCTGAATTTTATCTTTTTTTTAAAAAATGTATTTATTATGTCTGGGTGTGCATGCCACAACACATGTGTGCAGGTCAGAGGACAACTTGCAGGAGTGTTCTCTCCTTCCCCCATGTGGGACCCAGGAGTCAAACTCAGGTTGTCAGGCTTGGGTGCAAACCCACTTAGCCATCTCATAGGCCCATGTGTCTGTATTTTAGAAGTATTTTCTTTTTTTTCCTGACATGTTCAGTGAGAAATAACTAAATTTACTTTCCAATTTCTTTGCTCAAGTCTATAAGCAAACATCTAGATCAGTGGAAAAATTCCCTACTTAAAAAGTAAACTTTTGTGAAGTGGATTATGGCATCTGGATTTCTACTAGGTAACTGGAATCAAGGGTCTGCTTGCCTCTTGAAAATATGAAGTTTGGAGGCCAGCCTCGTTGGGGAGAGGTATCTGATCTGGGAAAAAAATGAGGGTTGGAATTAAGTTAGAGCTTTAGAACCAATAGCCACCTCCGTCTGCTTCTGTTCTATCATTTAAGAAAGAAAGAGTTAAGTCTTGTTCACCACTGCATGGTATAAGTGAATGAATTAAGATGAGGGGGATTATGTAGAGCTGAGCTCTTTAGGATTGCTCTTTGGCACTTAACATTCTTTATATATATATATATATATTTTTTTTAATTTTATGTGGATGAGTGTATTGCCTGCATGTGTGTAAGCTCATTTGTGTCATGCAGTATATGCAGAAATCAGAAGAGAATCTTGAGTTCCCCTGGAACTGGAGTTACAGATGATTGCTAGCCACCATGTGGGTTCTGGGAACCAAACCCAGGTCCTCTGCAAGAGCAGACAATGCTCTTAACCACTAAGCCATCTTTCCAGCTCCCATTGCTTTCATTTTGGATATCTTACCTGCTAAATAGAGTCCATGCCTTTGTTTTGTATAAACAGAAACCAGCATACCAAGTCACACGATGAACACTTTGAATGCTCTGAACTGAATGAAACCAGATGGAGGGCAAGCTTCCAGAGAGTCCACCTCAGGGCCCACGGATAGCTCCCATCATTTTTTCCCCAAGTTGCTCCAGGCTGGGACCCATTTCACAGACTGATGCCTTACAGCTGTTCACATGAGGTGTAGGTCTTGGTGTGACATGTCTGTTGACAGGCCCCTGCACAAGTCAGCATCCATGTTGCCTTGGGGCATTGTCATGAGGTCAAAGAATAGGGAATCGGGGGTCACATGACCTTGGGCAAGTTCCATAACCCCTTGAAGCATCATTTCCTTGTGATGTGAGGATAACAGTGTTACAGAACACAGTGTGTAGCATGTGATAGTAAAATGGTAATCCTTACTACCATTTGTTGTGACTGGACTATTGTCTGGACATCTGTCTCTGTTGTGGGCTTGTTTTCTGTTCCCCAGGTAATGATCCTCATCACTGGTGCTCACAAGGCCTTTGCTCTGTACAAGGCCATTGAGGAAGGAGTGAACCATATGTGGACTGTGTCTGCCTTCCAGCAGCATCCCCGTACTGTGTTTGTGTGTGACGAGGATGCCACCTTGGAGCTGAAAGTGAAGACTGTCAAGTATTTTAAAGGTGAGGAGCGGGTATAGGAGAATGTGAGTAAGCTCAGCTATGTTGGGAGGACCTGGGTCTAGCTTTCCTTCTGTGTCCCCGTCCCTGCCTTTTTTTTTTTTTTTTTTTTTTGAGACATGGTCTCCGTGTAGCCCCAGCTGGCCTGGAATTCACTATGTAGACTAACTGGCCTCGAACTCATGGAGATCCATCTGCCTCTGCCTCCCAAGTGCTGGGACTACAGGCTGTGCCACCACGCCCAGCCTCCTTCTGTCCCTTAAGATTTATTTTTATTTTATGTGTATGAGTGTTTTGCCTTCATGTATGTGTACCATGTGCATGCCTGGTACCCTCAGAGGCCAGAAGAGGGCACCAGATCCCCTGGAACTGTAATTTCAGCCAGTTGTGAGCTACCATGTACATGCTGGGAAGTGAACCCAGGTCCTTGCAAGAGCAGCCAGTGTTCTTAACTGCTGAGTCATCTCTCCAGCCCTTATTTTTAATTTTAGAGACAGAGTCGTACTAAGAAATCTCTAAGTCACAATCCCCCTTCCCTCAGCCTCCTGAGTGCTGGGGTTATAAGCATGTATTACTACACCCATATCATCCTGGCCATTTAATCAGCACCTGTGATCTGTGTGTGTGTGTGTGTGTGTGTGTGTGTGTGTATACATGCCAGAGTGCACATGGAATATCAGATTACAACTTTGAAGTCAGTTATTTCTACCATTATGTAACTTAGGTGGCCAGGCTGTGTAGTGATCACCTTTACCTACTGAACCATGCCACTGGCCCATCACCTATGATCTTAATAATAGTCAAACCATATTGCTTCATGATGTGGTCATTTCTTTTCCATCCATGACTGCAAGGGTTCATTTCTGAAGATCTATTTGCTGAGGGGACAAGGAAATGCAAAGTTACAATTCATAGGACTATGTGGTAACTTTGCAAGACAATGAGCCTTGGGTTTTTTCTGGCAGCCTTCCTCTAGACATTTCCCCTGTAACCAATGCTAACAACCCTCATCTAGGCCTTTCCCCTGTGGCTGGGTGCTAAACAAGCTATTGTGGGGATGTTTGCTTTATTTTAAAAGGATGTCTGCCAGTGTGCTTTTCTAGAGTGCTTGCCTCGTATGTATGAAACTCTGGTTTCAGACCCCAATACAGCTGAATTATCCAGGGAGGAAAAGCGGGGGAGGAGTTTGGGGGCCAGAGAAGGAGTGGGGAGAAAGAGAGAGATTGATTTACAAACTTAAGTGACAATCCTCATTCATTAAGCAACTGATTGGGAATTTGTCCCTTGCTGAAGATTAACCTTTTAATCTTGGGCTTCTGTGGTGGTGGGATGACAGAAATTCCCTGAACTGGCACTCCTGGGGAATTGGAGATCACCAAGCAGAGATGAGTGTCAGCTCTATGACAGTTGAGAGCTGCATGTACTTCTTAATAACTCTGGGACTCTTGCCTCTACATTGACTACTGTCTGTTTTACATTTTTTATAGGTTTAATGCTTGTTCATAACAAGTTGGTGGACCCCCTGTACAGTATCAAGGAGAAGGAAATTCAGAAAAGCCAGTCTGCTAAGAAACCATACAGTGACTAGCCGGTACCTCAGAGTTACAGGCAGATCTTTCTGGAAACTGTCTAGGAGATTAGAATTCTTTTTCTTTAATCCATTATGGTTATTGCAAATATATGTGTTGAATTTACTGTCCTTGGGTTATGTGGCTAGGCACCTACTAGTCATGTAGTTTAGCTAAAGGCAGAATTGTTTATAGCTGTTTTCTTCTTTTTTAGTACTGGGGATGGAACCCAGGACCTTGTACCTGCCAGCCAATCACTCTACCATCTGAGCTATGTCCCGAACCTTATATCCATTTTTTAAATTATTATTGTGTAACAGAAATTTTCTGAAAAATGTACTCCATTTTAACTGGTGTTATACCTAAGTGAGGGGTTTTCAGCTTTTGTTCTGCCTCTGCCGATGTTCACATGGACAGCACACTCCCATCAAGGATTTTTATTTGTATATGCACTAATTCTCAAGTGTGTGTAGGGGGGTGGTTAGGACTTGTGCATTTTGGGAACAACCTCTTTGGAGAATCTTGAGAACTCCTCTTCAGTAAGCCTGCCCCTTGAGAATCGTTCTATGTTAAGGAACAATCTCTCAGTGCCTAAATTATATAAAGGAAGCAGCTCTTTGGTTCAGTACCAAGGGCCCTTGGAAGAAACCTATCCCGTGCTCCCTTTTCCTGCTGTTACAGCTGGTTCTTCCATGAGCTCGGTGGTCTCTCTAAGAAGGTAGTTTGTCTGGCCATGTCACAGTTCTCTTCCTCAAGGATCCAAGACTAGAAAGGCAGAAACCCTTTTCCCACCAGAGCCCCATGTTTTTATCAGAGGTCTGTTGCATATTCCTGAGTAAAGAGGAGGCCCTCTGGGAGAGAGACACCATGATTTGTGTTGTTTACCTAAGGTGAGAGGCTGCTGAGCATCTGTAGGCACAGTGCTGTGCTCTCTGGCCTCCCTCAGGGCTGAGCACCCAGCCTGTAGCACATGTGCTTCTATTACATTCTCCACCGAAACCCCTGTCACGCCCACCTTTCAGTTTTTCAAGGTGTCCTCCGAGGTTCTCAGAACACTGGAAATGGTTTATCCTTCAGGCTCCTTCCCAAGCTTCTCTGCTCAGCCTGCCTTTTATCCTCTCCGGCCTGGAGTGGTTGCTGCCTGCTCCTCTGTTTTTGTGCCTATTTAAAGCTATTGCTGCCTATTCCTGTGAAAGAGTTTTCAGATCCTGGCTCAGGCCTCTAAGTACTGTGTTTGGTACCAGCATTTTGTCTGAAGCTTTTATACTGATTGTGATTGTGCTATCTTTCTGTGTTAAGCTAATGGATCAGTGGACTTGTTTACAATGTGATATTTTCTATTAAATCCAATGCTTTCCAATAAAATGTGTTTTTTGTGGGTTTTGACACTCCCTTCCTGGAGTTCAGAATGTTGTCTTCTGAATGCATACTCTGGGGAGACAGTGTGAACCTGGGACTGGGAGTGGCGAGGGCGTCTCCTGGGTCACTCCTGCAGCCTGCTGCTTATTCTGTTGTTTTCACCTTACCTGCCCTAGGGGCTGAGGACAGGCACTGTAGATGCTGCACACAGGACCTGCTCTGCTCTGGGGTACCTACATTTGAAAACACCTAAAGAGAGAACAGAAAGTGGAGCAGTGGGAATGGGCAACTGCACAGGGGCTTGGGGAGATGTTTACTGTACTCTGAAGTTGGACAAAACTGAGAAGGCAAAATATTTACTGCTTCAGGAACTGTGAAGACTGCCACTGAACTCTGTTCTTCCCCATTCCCCCCCCACCCCACCCTCTGAGGGGAGGGAAGGAACTGAAGTTAATGAAGCACTGGTGGAAGATCCAGGGCACATCCACAAATCTTGTTATAAAGGTAGTTGGCTGCTCGATGACACTGAGCCTCTCTTCAGAACTGTGTGAACTGAGGAGTGAAAAAGCATGAACTGTGACTGGAGAACTACCTCAGGGGTTAAGAGCACTGGCTGCTCCTGCAGAGGACTGGGGCTCAGTTCCCAGCATCCAAATGGCAACCATCAGTAATTCCAGGGAATCCAACATCCTCTGATGGCCTTCCCAGATGTCAGACATACTTGTACACTTACATACTTGCAAGCAAAATACTCATACACACAAAAAGAATCGCAAAGCCAGCTGTGGTGGTTCACGCCTTTAATCTTAGGCAGAGCAGAGGCAGGCGGATCTTTGTAAATTCAAGAGTCTTGAGCTCACAGAGATCTGCCTGCCTCTGCCTCTGAGCGCTGGGATTAAAGGTGTGCATCACCACACCTGGCTAAAATTATTTTTATGTGTATGAATGTTATACCTGCATGTGTGTAAGTGCACCCCTGTTGTGTAATGCCCTAGGAAATCAGAAGAGGGTGTCGGATCCCCTGGAACTGGAGTTACAGACAGTTGTTAGCTGACATGTGAGTGTTGGGATTCAAACCTGGGTCTTTATAAACAACCAAAATATATATATATATATGTGTGTATATATATATATATATATATATATATAGTAAAGAGTGAACATAGCAAATTAGTGTGGAATAAAAAATATATTTTGCAAACAGCTAGTGGGCAAAACTTCATGCTCCATTCCCACAAGCCTGCAGAAAGGTCACAATCACAGCAATTGTTGATTTCTAGTTCAATCATAAAGGTGAAAAAAATTATAAAAGTGGAGCACCTATATGAAAACAATAGGAATGAACAGATGAGTAATAAATTGGAATGTTCTGGTCAAACGATATCTCTAGAGGTATTCAGCTGTTAAAAAAAGAAAAAACAAGGCAGGGTTGGAGAAGGCACTCAGCAGAAGATGCTCAGCCACTATTCATGAAGTCCTGGGTTTTGTCCCCAGCACTGCAGAAAACAGTAATAGCTCCAAGATATGTGTTATAGGAAAGAGTTCGTAAAAAAAAAAATCACCAACACCACTTTAAGAAAACTAGCAAGGTAAATTTTAATTTTCGACCGGCCGGGCTGACTATCTCAGGAGTAGAAGCAGCCGGGACTGATGCAAGTCCCCTCTCGGAGTTTGCCGGTACTGCCCAACAGCCGAGGCTGATGCAGGTCCCCTACTGGGGAGTCCTCAGAATACTGCCGGGCAGCTCCCTTCTCAGAGAGTTTCCCAAAGCTGCTGGGCCCAGAAGTCCTCCAGATCTCGGTGGGACCTCCAAATGTTATAGGACGGAGTTCGCAAAAAAATCACCAACACCACTTTAAGAAAAGTAGCAAGGTAAATTTTAATTTTCGACTGGCCGGGCTGTCTATCTCGGGAGTGGAAGCAGCCCTGATGATTGTTAAGTCAGGGTTTTTATAGGGTTACAGACTTATTATTAAAACTGGACACTTGTGAACCAATCAGGTTTATACAACATAGCAGAATTTTGACTCTATTAATCAACAACCAATCATTATACAGACAAGTGATACAGTCATATAACCTGGCAATCAACTTTGTGACCTTAAAACTAGCCAACTGTTTTAGCCATAATAAGTATAATAAGACAGTCAAGGTAAATGACTTTTAGGTGGTCATACAATAACAAGATAACAAGGGTGGTCTTATGCCGTGTGTCAAGATGACCCAAGATAGCAAGCAGATTACAGAAGCGAAAACAAGCTGGTTAGTCTGATGTATAATGTCTGGAATTAGCACATTCCATGATTCATGTTTAGGGCAATTTTCCAAGGCCCAAGGTTGCCCCCCTTTTCCTTTTGGTGTGGAGCAAAGTTGCTGCTGAAATGGCTCTGAACAAAATGGAGTAACTTAGGGAAGTTTGCTGAGCCAGTTCAATATGGAAAACTGTTTTCTGGTTTTTAAAGTCAAGGTAATAGAGTATCTTGAAGGCAACATGTTCAATTAAGGAGGTACAAGTAAGAAAGTGGGGAAAAAGTTAATTTTTAAATCTTTTATTGATATGATTTATATGCCAATAAAATCTGCTATATATAAATCAAGTGTTTCCTAAGTTCAGAGAGTTGTGTGACTCCTCACCACAATTTATTCCTTTCATCTCTCTAGTTGTACCCTCTGCTTCAAGCAACCATTGATTTTGTCTACAGATACACTTTTCCTTTTACTTGTGGTGTTTGCTGGAGGCTGAGTTACAGCCCCAAGCCTCTATTAAAAATTTCACATAAATGAAATCGTATGATATCCTTTGTGTTTTCTTATCTTCTGTTTGAGGTTCGTCTACTCCTTGTTTCTGATCTATGTTCCACTGTGGGATTACATTTTGTTTATCCAATCAACAAATGTTTAAATTTTGGCCTGGATGTGTTGGCACACACCTTTAATCTCAGCACTTGGGAGGCAAAGGCAGGCAGGTTTACTATGAGTTAAAGGCCAGCCTGGTCTACATAGCAAGTTCCAAGCCAGCTAGGGCTATAGGGAGACCCTGTCCCAAAAAACAACAAAACAAAAAAAGATTTAAATTTTAAATAGACATATTATGAAAAAAAATATTAGAATAACTACAACTACACTGGGCACATCCGTGGCTTATCAGGTCTGTTTCCTGAATAGTCACTGAAGCAATCATCCTGCCACACCCAGTACTTACATGGATCAAGTGGGATGTGCACCCCTATGCCAGTCTGGGCCTCTAGACTGATAATTTGATCAGAGAGGAAGTGTTTAGCGACTGGACATGTAAGTCTGTAATGTCAGCACTCAGCCTTACTGAGTCAGGAACACCATGAATTCAAGGCTAGGCTGGATCACACAGTAAAACTCTATCTCAATGACAAAACAGTTAATAGGGACAGCTGAATCTATAAATAGAAAGCCTAAGATTCAGAAAGGGAAAAGGTAGTACGTGTATACAGTTACATTTCAATAGGAGTGGACAGAGTGTTTGTGTTGAGTAAAGTGGTAGTATGGACATAAATGTATGTCATTATCTACAGGGTACTACTTCTGCTCAGTAGAGATGGATCCAAGAGCTCTCCCACTACTCCCCCTTTGACTTACTCTGGGGCTTCACTCAAATGCCTTTACCAGAGCCATCATCCCACCCCTCTCAGGTAAAGTGAAATGCACTCCCCATTCCCCATCCCCTGTGCCTGGCTATCCTCTAATGGGTATTTATTTGCCACTAAATGGAAGTCTCATGAGGACAGACTGTTTCTATTGACTTGTCTTCAAGTTCACTGATGCCTTCCTGGCTATTTCCAGTCTGCTGATGAGCCCTGGGGAGCCATTTCTGCTTGTTACAGCGATTAACTTCTAACATTTCTCTTAGAGGTGTTGAAAGTTTCATATTTTGCTTACATTTTTATCCTTGCATGTTCTTTTTCCATTAGAGACTTTAGTACAGTAATTGTCAGTAAATCTGTGCCAGATCTGTCTAGATTTGATGCTTGCTTTGTGTCTACTTTTCTCTTTTTGACTTTTAAAATTTATTTATTTATGTTTTTTGAGACAGGGTGTTTCCCCTGTAGCTCCAGCTGGCCTAGAACTCACAGTGTAGACTAGGCTGGCCTTGAACTCACAGAGATCCGCCTGCCTCTACCTCCTGTGTGTCATCACGCCTGGCCTCTTTTGGCATTTTTTAAATTGGCAACTGGATATGCTGTAGTGGGAAATAGGAACTAAAGTCAGCAGGCAGTTAATGTAGAGCTGCATGCTTATCTGACTGTTCACCTGTGTTTAATGCTTGCTAGAGCTGTGCCAGAAACTTCAATTACCCTGCTTCCATGTTTTGTTCTCCATCAGTTGTCTGTGGGTTTTCTTAAAATAGTGCATTTTGTAGCTCTCGGTGGTCATCTGGTCACTCAGGAGCTCTGTTGATGGTTGCCTATTGGAGAGGAACAGTGTTTTCTTGTTTTGTTTTTAGGTTTTTTGTTTGTTTGTTTGTTTTGTCTTTTTGAGACAGGGTCTCCCTGTAGCCCCAGCTGTCCTAGAACTCACTATGTAGACCAGGCTGGCCTCAAACTCACAGAGATCTGCCTGCCTCTGCCTCCCCAGTGCTGGGATTAAAGGCATGCGCCACCATGTCCAGCTTGTTTTTAGTTTTTAAACAACAGAAATTTCTCATAGTTTGAGAAGTGATGAAACCTAGGATGACGGCACTGGTCAATTCAGTATCTGGTGAGGGCCTGCTTCCTGTTTTATAGACATCCACCTAAGACTAGAAGGAGCGAGCGAACCTCTGCCTCTTATAAAGGCACTAACATCGTTCATCATGACCTCCTGACCTCCCAAAGGCGTTTCCTCTAAAAAATCAGCTCATAGCAAGGTAGGGTTTTCAACATAGCAGTTTGGGGAGGACACACCTCAGTGTTCATTACTCAGTCCATAATGAACATGTTTATCTTGTTATTGTATGACCACCTAGAAGTCATTTACCTTGACTGTCTTATT